GCCCTGTCCCCTCAGAAAGCACCATGTGGTCCATGGAAAGCTAAAGAGAACATGTAACATTTGGACCTGAATCTCCTCCAATTAAGGAAGTCTACATATAGGCTAAGGTGACTTCCTGCAAGGCTCCCTTGCATCTTCTTAAGGTTTACTGAATTTTGATAAAATAACAATGCCATATGACTCTAATGTCTTGAGTCTAGGAAAGTCAAAGGCATCTTTCATTAACCGTCTTTGCTCTATTTGTTGAGGACATACTGTGAGTCAGCTTCTGTACTCATTTTCAGAGACTCAAGGTTAGTCACTAAGATGTGGTTCAGCTTTAAATATGAGATGTGTGAAAACATAAAAAACTTGCTGCTACCCATGAGGTCAAGTTCATTCATCAAAATCGATTGGTTCTTTTCCCAGTGTTGGGGACTAAGTCTGTCAAAAAAGTTGGTATTAAAAATAGCTAAACCTAGAAAGCTGACATAACAGCTGTGTTCCTTCTCTATTCAATGACACACAGGACAATTTTTCTATATTTCTCTAAATATTTCGTGACATCTACCCAAAGGATGTTGCGGTATACCCAAAAGAAGGAGTGATTTTTATTTCAGCAGCATTTACTGAGCCCTCTTTTAGGGAGGCAAAATGGAACTTAGTAGGGACACAGTGACTGACAGGGACAGTCCACCTGTCATTGATATAAGTTGATTTTCTTATAGAGGTCAAATTACGATGATCACATTCTGTAATTCAGAGCTGAACAAGTCCCAGCTGCAAGACTAGTTCCCCTTGCACCTGTGACTTTTCCTTCTGGAACCTGTCTATAAAATGAAGAAGTCAAACATGGCACTAAACCTCCTAGCCTATGAATGCACGATTCTACAACTTTTATGAAACATATTTTCATCTTTGAAGACCACACTCCCTGAATGATTCCGCTCACAAGGACAGCACCAAAACTCAGCTAGATACAAGGGTGTCTGATGATGAAGAAAAAATTCCATTATTCCAGGACATTCAAGGAGAATTGAAAAATCCCATCAGAGCGTCGCCAGCAACCTTGCTTGTAATCATAAGAAGATGGAGAGGGAGCGAGCGTACAAGCCTAGCCAGCAGGGTTGTAAACGAGGGCACGTTAGCTGAATGAAATGCTTGCCAGAAGCAGGGGCCCATAAATATTCCATGACACCCAATTGATTTCTCAAAATGAGTTCCATTTCTGATTTGTAAATCTAGCTGGTGATGCTTTATGTTGTGCCTTAGCCTCTGCATCCAATGTGCTCTGTCTACCTTCAAATTTCTTCTCTTCCCATCAAATAATCACACTCAATCTACTATCTATCTTAACACTCCCCAGCTCACTGAAGCTTTCGAGCATGAGGCTTATAAAACATTCCCATTACAAGAGGCAGGACGCTTGAGAAAACTGGTCCAAATAACAGTAATGAAGATGGATAGGGGGACATCCTGAACAGTAACAAGGCCCAGAATAGAATGTTGGAGTGTCTTAAGACTGGTTCAGGCTGGTTCCTCCTAGTGTTTCTCCATTGTTTTCAAGTGATGGACCCCACAAAATGTTAATAGTGACCTAAAACAATGGAATTAATATGTAAAAGTGTAAAAAACACATCCAGAAAAAGAGAAAAAACAAACCCAGAAGTTATGTTGCTAAGCCTCTAACCTTAAGAACTAAGGGAAAAGCTTAGCTTATCATTGTAGTAGTTAGGGAATTAGGCCATCTGTTGTAACAACCAACTGAAACATCATCAGGATAGTACAAATACTTCCTATGTGGCCGTCCTCTAATTAGGTATCCCAAGTAATAAGCTATGGATCAAGGATCATACAGTTCCTTTTCTGTGATTCTGATGACTGTGTCTTCAAGGCACTTTTGCTGAGAGATTTGATGTGCAGCTTGCTGACAAAGAGAGAATATGGGGGAAAAATCGCAGGATATCTACAAGAAGGCATTCATCACTTCCTCCTAAAAGCTCATTCTAGGGCTACTAGCCACAAAGACGGCCCTTTGTAGTATCAGGCCATCTAGGAAGAGAGAACGGGGTACCTACAGGAAAAATACCATCTTTAAAGATCATGTCCTCAATATGAGCCTTGATTATCAGGCCTGGCAACATCTCGGGTCTTTTTAGAAAATATAGGTGTTCAGACCATGGCTTAGGACTCTACATCTCAACAAAATTATTAAGATCCTCAAAGACCCTGCTTTAAGAAACAAAACAGTCAGTTTGCTCCTCGCAGTGTTATCAGAACTACTAATCCATCAAAATAGAAGCTAATTTTCACCAATAAATGCTTTCTATGATGATGATTCCCAAGCCAAAAGAATGTGGATGGTGTATGAAGTGCTGCTGGGGGCTGAGGAGAAAGCTCAGTCAATAAAATGCTTGGCACACAAGCATGAGAACCTGAGTTAGTATCGCCCAAACACACATAAAAGATAAGCATGGTGGGGCATCACTATAATCCAGTTCTGGGGTGACAGAAAGAGAAGGATCCTTGGAACTCATGGGCCATCCAATAGCAGAATTAATGAGTTCCAGGTTCAGTGAGAGACTGTCTCCAGAAATAAGGTAGAGAACAATATACAAACATATATAACATTGACCTTTGGTCTCCAAACGTACATGTGCGCATGCACACACACACACACACACACACACACACACACACACACACACACAC